TTTTTTCCACGGAGAAGGGTAGGGAGTATATCGTCTACACATTTGGACAAATTCGTCTTTTCTGCTTTTCACTTCATGTCCACATCAAAGTCCAGCACCAGCAGCTTGGTTTCCTCAGTCCCATTCCGACTCCCAACTGCACACACCAGCTTTGTGTTTGAGGCTCTGATCCGCCACACAACTCCCCCACTCCCCCCACTCTCCAATGTGACTAGGTTTCGAATAAATTCACCCGTTTTCAAGTCCCATAGTTTTACAGTTCCATCATCTGAGCTGGTAATTACAAAGTTCTTGTTGAACTGTAAACAGGTTACAGCACTCTGATGCTTGTTAGGACCTGGACGAAACCAAAGGAATTTAATTACTGGTTACAAATCATGGTGATGGGTAAGTTACATTGTAATTGTACACTTCTACATTAGAACATACGATAAATGAGATATTTAAAATGCTGCATATTTAGAAACTGTGAGTATTTTCGGATCAGCAGCGTTGTAAGAAAATCTGGTAGCTCTTTGTAAACTGAAACAAGAGTTGTATTTTCCAGGAAGCTTTGTTAGCTACCAGGCACACATTTTGTTTTCTGGCTGTGCAAATAAGAGCTTTCTTAGTGGTGATGTGGAAAGCCCACCTTCATGTATTCTATGTATTCTGCTGATGGACAAATGGGCATGAGACCTACTACCCTACCACTTTGACCTGACCACTCAAAGGCGAAGGCTGAATGGACACAATTCCAAAACTCTGAGGAACAGATAATACTAATAGGTAAAAAACTAGAATACAGACCACCAGATGGCCTCACTGAAACAAAACAAAACGAAAACAACACATTTTAAGGACTAAGACCAATAAAAAGTTAATCATGACATAAAATGTTAACACTGTTATGCCTCATTTAATATTAGTGGCTTTCACATGTTTCTTTCTTCATTTTACTGGGTGCTATTATTCCTTCCATCCTAGTTAAGTAGATGGTCAAAAGGTCTAAGCTGAGGCCAAAGCAATTTCCTATCAGATCAGAGATGTGCTTTTTTTTCCCCCCAGTAAGATAGCTCTTTAATTTAAAATCAGCCTACAAATTCAAAATTTAAAAAAAAATGATGACTCAAAAAACAAAAGGAGTCTGTTGCTTTCGTGATACAGTCAAGATCTTTCTTCACATTGTCCTTTAAGGTTAGGTAGAGTTAACTGTACATGCAGGCGTGATTAAACAATTTTATATTAACACAATTTAAAACAATTTCTCAAGCGTAGCCTCGTTCTGTCAAGTCAGAGTGGAAATGCTCATAAACTTATCCAAAATAAGCATTTTCATTTTGTATGAGGTTAACTCTTTTTGTGACATAAAAGCTCCATATTTCTTTTGACTGACAAACCCATTTTTAATGAACACAACTAAAGCTGAGTAGCCAATACTTACCTTGCAATGTTTGTAAACATTGTCCTGTTTTGATATCCCAGATTTTAACTGTCGAATCTGCATTCCCAGAGACAAGAATATTGTCTTTGAGTTCCATTCCACTTGTTAACGATTGGTGTCCCGTTAACGTGTGAATGCAATTCCCCGTCTCCACATCCCAAACTCGAATTGATGTATCAAGAGATCCACTCACCACATGGATACCATCAAACTACAACAGACATAGTTTATTAGACTAGAAAGTGCAGATATTCTTAATATTATTTATTGACCTTAACCCTACAGGGCAGGAAAATAAAGCATGGGAAACCAGTAATGCCAGGACCAAAATGAGGTAACAGGATAAATGTAATCAAGTAAATCTACAGTGCACGTTCTCAGAAGCCTCTATCAGAATTGTTATCTATCTATCTATCTATCTATCTATCTATCTATCTATCTATCTATCTATTTTTATGGCCAGTGGCTTCAAACTAGATGCAGAAACAAAACAAAACACGAACGCATTACTTTCAAATCATCTGGCCACACTTAGTAGCTAAATATCCGGGATAATTCAATAAGGATTACTATTGGAGTCTTACTTCACAACAGAAAGTTGAAACTATGGACAAAGCTTGTGATTAAAGGCTGTGTTTATCAACACACCTAAGGCATGAAAAGACTAGAGATAACTCTCATGATGTTTAAAAGTAAGTTCCATTAAAAACTGTAAAATAAAAACTTCATTTATAAGAACCAAATGCTAATTAGGAAATATGCCAACAGATAATTATATCTGAAATTATAAGAGGTGGCATTTTGATAACAAAAGCAAGCGATATAGGTACCTCTTCTCCAGCTTCCCAGCTATACCAAAAGGCAATAAATATCAATTCCTAGAATATCTATAATAATATTGCTACCTCTTCTCTCAATCTAATGGTCTACTTAAATGAGAATATTATATTCATTAAGGTTCTGAGCATATCACAAAACATAAAAAAAACTTTAGCCAATTCTCTCTCCACCAAATTCATAATCTTTTCTAAGTTAACACATCTTTATTATATGCCAATATTTTGTGACATAGACAGTATTCCATGAATTAAGAAACAAATATCCCAAGAATAGAGAACTGTCAGCATTGGGACTGTGTACTAATCTGCTGATCACTAATAGGCAGTAACTGGTAAATAAACTATATCAGTAATGGACAAATTTTTACAATGAAAATGCTGTCTTTCAGAAAATAAAACAAGACCCATTTGCTAAACTTTCTATTAACCTATTTATTTCAAAATATGGCAACCTACTCAAGAATATCAGGTTCAAATGTAAACAAAAAACATCAGTTTAGTCAAATCCAGTTCTTTGCGACTACAAATCACTAGCCCTGTGCTGGTAGAGCATCTGGTAGAGCAGCTTTATGTAGAAAGGCTCCACTTCCACTGTGAATGGGATGGAATCACAATTACATGGTCCATCAACCTGCAGCTATCAAGGCAAAGGGGCAGCTTTTGGCCAAATTAATCCTCTGCTAAGGAGTTTATTAAAATCCAGGTTATTTTCCTATGAGACTATCTACCCAATAATTAATATAGTAATACTTAGGGCTCCAAAGTCTCAAGTTCCAAGACAAATATTTGTATTTTATAGGAAAAATGATCACAGAAAAATTTAAACAAATCATTTGAGTTCAAAATTTATACTTTCTTCATGCCAATTTTTATTTATTTATTTATTTATTTAAAAAAAATTTTAACGTTTATTTATTTTTGAGACAGAGAGAGACAGAGCATGAATGGGGGAGGGTCAGAGAGAGGGAGACACAGAATCTGAAACAGGCTCCAGGCTCTGAGCGGTCAGCATAGAGCCCGACGCGGGGCTCGAACTCACGGACCGTGAGATCATGACCCGAGCCGAAGTCGGACGCTTAACCGACCGAGCCACCCAGGCGCCCCTCTTCATGCCAATTTTAAACTATATGATATAACAGAATGATTTGATCTGTATTTTTTGGATTGTATTGAATCATCTATTTGACAGCAATTGTCTGAGTAAAACAATCTTATGATTCATCAGTAAAGCATCTAAGGGATAAAAGAGATAGGATCTCTTACCTGTAATGAATAGACTCTATTAGTATGCCCCTGCAACGTGTGTAGACAGGTCTCAGTCTCTGGATCCCACACTTTCACCATAAAATCATATGCTCCACTAACAACCCTCCTGCCATCATATTGAACACAGCGGACTGCTGCTACATGACCCATCAAAACATGTAAACACTGGCCTGTCTCAATATCCCAAACCCTAAGAGTGGCATCTCGAGAACCGCTAACAACTCTGTAAGGGGAAAAAAAAAAAACAGAAAAAAAGTATTAGAATTTTTAACAGCATGAGTAAACGTGATATACAAAGTCAGTGGTTATTATATTTTTTCTTTTCTTAAGCAGGAACACCTGTTTTCAAAGAAATCCTATATAAAACTGTGATATATAAACATTCACAAGTCAAGTTATTCTGGTTGGGAAGCCTAGAGTTCTGCCTGCTTTTGGTTCCTCCATTTATAAGGGGCTGTGGAGCACCTCGGGTTCTGTGGGACAATTTGAAAACTATTGTATTGTATTTGAAGAAGGAGAAAGAGAAGGAGGAGGAGGAGGAGGAGGAGGAGGAGGAGGAGGAGGAGGAGGAGGAGGAGGAGGAGGAGGAGGAGGAAGAGAAGAAGCATCAGCAGCAGCCGCCACCACTGCCAAGTGATAAATATATACAATAAGATCTTGATTTTAGAAATAAAATGCTAATGTGGGCAACATGTATAAAATGTTAGTGGGAGAACTCTGGTGTAGTATTTTGAATTTTACATTTCTTCTTTATTCTTTATGCCATTTCCCAAAATTTTAATTATGAATATATATTCTTTGTGATTAGGGAAAAAATTAATAAATGTTATTTAACAAAACAAATCTGAATTTGAAATTTAAACAGCTGAAGATATGTGCCTTACACCATATAATTCTGGTAAAATTTACTAGTTTTAGAAAATCCTCAAATGAAGGCTGCATATGCTTATATTTATAGTCAATAGGCATGGAGGCATTAAGATGTACAGATTTTAGAAGATACACATAGGGAGGCAACAATAATCCCTTAAAAATTTGGCCTGACATTATTAAAACTATGCTCTTCTGAAGACCAGAGTGATACTAATATTACAATCGCCTTTGGATTACAAAGGAGAGCTGAAAACTCAGGTATCTTCATGTCATTCCAAAGAGATAACGAAAGGCCATAGATTCCACATTTGGAAGAGCAGAAAATGAAAGCATTGAGTGATTTAAGTCAGAACATAATGGAAACTGAAATACAAGGTCTCTCAATATCAAACCCCCCAAATTTTAATAGTAGAGCGCACTGTTCAAAGTAGATTCAAACTACATATGAGAAGATACTTTTCTTCACATATTACAAATCTAGTGTGAAATCTGCTTAATGTAATGGTTCTCATAAAGAAGATGCTGTGGACAGAATTAAAGGTAAGGACTGCAGGAGATTTATGGTAAGAACCATCAGACCTTTTTTGACAAAGTAAAGTCGAAATCACATTTGTTTAACAGGGATACTGTGAAGACATGCCAATAGGAGATCGAAAGGATTTTAATAGGAGGGCTTTGTAGGAGGAGATCAAAGCAAGAGTGAAGGCAGTGAGAAGAAAAAAAGGCAAGCAGTTTGGTTTGGCTGAAACTATTTTGAAAACTGGATTGAGGATTTCTTCCTTGATTCGATAGACAACAGAAGGCCCTCAAAGGGCAATGACACTATCATAATTAGAAAAGAATTCTCTGTCAGCCATGTAAAAGGTGAGAAAACCAAGTGTGAAAGCTATGTCAATAGTTCAGGTGACTGGTAATGAGAATAAACTAAAACCCATGGGCCTCAGCTTTTGCCTAGATATAAGGGGATAGGATGGAGTGGAGGTAGGGTGGGTGGGTATTTAAAAAGACTCAGAAGCTTGAAGCCTGAGTAACTGAATTTATCCCACTAGCAGGGATATAAACACCAAAAAAAAAAAAAAAAAAAAAAAAAAAAAAGAGAGAGAGAGAAATTTTTGAAGATGATGAGTCATCAAAGCTGTACAACAATAAAATGCTACACAAGATTAGAAAATAGAGTTTCAAGGAGGAAGCCAACAACACTACTAAATGAAGACGGAAATTTAGACAATCCCCAATTTTAAGCCAACACACTACTGCTTTGTTAGTATAGAAACATCTGAAGTCTAATAAAGTCTAATTTAACATCACATTATCACTATCTCTCTAATAAACACAGTTTTATACAACTGAACTCTACACAAAAGGCCTCAGATTCACAAGTAACAGAGAAAGGATTTCCCCTTACCTTTTTTCATGGAGATGCATACAACGGACAGTGGAAGTATGCCCATACAAGGTGTGTATACATTCTCCGGTCTCTGCATTCCACACTTTTAGAGTCCGATCTGTAGATCCACTAATGATGATATTGTCTCTCATCTGTGATGACCATACTCCACCTGTGTGCCCCACTAATGTTCTCAGACACTGGAAAAACACTTAAGATGATTACTTTTGGGTAGAAAAGAAAATGATGTATTATAACATTTCAGTAGCTCATTAAATTTTGGGGTAAAGTTATTTACAAAATTTGACTGGCACATCAGAAAATAATTCCTCACATCAATATAACATGATCCCATCACTATTTATTGGTTTTTTTATTCAGTAGCATTATATATTAAACACACACGTACAACTGAGGAACAAGTATGTAGAAAGTAAAACACTTCTCATTAAAGTAAGACAGCTCCAGCCTGGTCTTTTTGATGAAATAATGCTAAAATTGCAACTTATTTCTTCCATATGAATGGATTCAATGAAAGAACGCCAACTGTGTTAGGTGTGGCTTACATACCACATTTCATCTGAATCTGCCCCAAGGCAGTAGTTAGGAGCCAGGCAAAGTACTTCTGGACAAGTAAAGACAGATATTAAAACTCTGAAATAAGTCCAAAGCTAATATTACACTGTGGAAATATGAAGTTGCTTTAAAAAAATTTCTAACATCTGACTTGGAATATTTTAGAAGATTCTTGCCCAAGAATCAACGTGTTGTAAGACATTTTAAAAGACATGGTTTTTGTTTTTTTCACATTTTCCTCTACTTTTTTTAGCTAGTCAGTTACTTAAGTCATGAAAACATTCTCCATTGGACAGATAAAAATAAGTATTCACTATAGAACAATTAAAATATAATACTGCGTACAGTGAAATTAATTGCTTAGACTACTTCTTTTCTTCAAACTCCTTCACTTATATATCGTATCTGCCTAACTTTCATCTCATAGGGCTTGAGATAAGTCTACATTAACATGATTTATTCAACTTCTAAACTATAGGTAAGTTACCAACAAAGCAGAAAAAACACATATCCCTCAATCATAGTTTTAAAAAAGTTTACAAAAGACAATATAAGCGAGATGGCTAATAAAAGTGGGAAAAATTAACCAAAAAAAGATAAAGCACACCTGTGAGAATTATACAATAGCTAAGTCACAAAGACAGACTGACTATTTACAAGAAGAAACTAATGACATCGTATCCTGAGAAACATGATCTTTGTGCCACCGGAAAAACTAAATAAATTAGAAGCTCTGATATTTGTTATCAAAATAAGCTGCAGTCAAAAATGAACCCTTATTTTTTTCCTGGTTGGTCCCTGCAAAGGCATACATAAAATGTGAAGTGTGGAAAGAAGAAAGCTTACTTTGCCTGTGACCGCTGACCAAACTTTTAAAGTGTTGTCATCAGAACCACTAACTATTCGGTTACCACAGAACTGCAAGCATGTGATCACATGATCATCATGTCCTTTCAGAACCTACAAGATAGATGAGCAGATTAGAAATATATTATTAAACTAAATTTTTAAAAATACCAGTGAAAAGAAAAATAAAGACACAAATAGGAGCCGCAATCTATAGTCTATTTCTTAAAATACAATTTATATAAAATATGAAGTAGCATCCATCCTTCCTGAATGATGAATCAAGTACTAAACATTTTGTTTTCCATATTCTATGATTTTTATACTTGAGATATCAACTATTAAAATTGAGTCAAGACTTTTATGAGTTAAAAACTCATAAAGATGGTTCAAACACAAATGTATTTTATAATCATCTCTTTATCTATTCAAACCAAAAACTATGCATCTATGGTTTGCAATTTTCACACACAAAAACAAAAGTACCTACAAACGAGAAAGACAAAAGTAACAATAATTATCAACTTTTTTCAACTTAAAACAAAAAAAAGCCTGTTATAATGTATACATATTAATGTAACGGTATCTCTAATTGCTTTTTTCCGGTTGTATAATATAAGCATTTTTGTCACTCTTTATATATTTAGGATAAGACAGAAAATCAGTATTATACTTAAATTTAGAGAAATAAAACTCAGAAAAGCCACCAAAAACACAAAACATGGGCACTGCTCAAAGAATCACGTTCTAACTACGTGGTCAGAGAGCAAGCAAAATCTCAAGCATATGACACAAAATTCAACAGGATACTCAGAAATCGTCACTTACATAAGATAGAATGACATGCAATTCAACTCATCTTTTATTCAAGTACAATTAGTTGTCAGACTGGAGAAATTAGCAACAGAGCAATGCTGTCAGTTACATTTTCGGTTATTTTAAAATATATTATTTTCTTTCCACAGGAGATAGGTGTCAAGTTATACTGCTGGCCAAGAAGAGTGTATCAGGTACCAACACTGATCAGTGCTTTCTGTTATACTGTGCAAGAGTTCAGTTACCTTAGGAGATTTGAGTTCTCCTCGCCTCCAGTTAGTATCAATTCTGTGCTGTCTGATATATGCACTTTTCCATGGACTATGTATGAAACCTGGTTTTATTACTTTTCTTCTCTTGATGTGCAATGGTTCATCAATACCTAAAGTTTTAAAGAGATAAAGAGTATAACTGCCATCACCAATAATAAAAATTACCCATTTTATAATGTATCTCATTTTCCCTTATGCTCAAAACCACTGAAATACAGGACACTGTCCAATTTCTAATACTGTATTATAAAACGATAATGTAAAGTTTGCATTCTCTGTGGCATGTTTTCATACTGACTTTTTCATTTCTTTCTCTAAATAATTCTATGAAACGTTGGATGTCAGGATGTACAGAAATGTGAGCCCTTATGCAATGTTTGTGAGAATATAAAATGGTATATTAGCTGCTATGGAAAAGAGTGTGCTGGTTCATCAAAAAAATTAAACACAGAATTACCATATAATCCAGCAATTCCAATTCTGGATATACACCCAAGAGAATTGAAAGCAGAAACTTGAACAGATACTTGTACACCCACGTTCATAGCTGCATTATTCAAAATAGCTGAAAGGTGGAAGCATCCCAAGTGTCCATCGATGGATGAATAAAGAAACAAAATGTGGGATATATACAGTGGAATATTTATTCAGCCTCGATAAAGAAGAGAATTCTGACACATGCTACCACACAGATAAGCCTTGAAGACAGTATGCAAAATGAAACAAGTCAGTCACAAAAAAGCAAATACCGTATGATTCCACTTATATGAGGCCCATAGAGTAGTAGTCAAACTCATAGACAGAAAACAGAATGATGGATGCCAGGGGCTGCAGGGAGGAGGAACGAGTTCCTGTTAAATGGATATCAACTCTCAGCTGGGAAAGATGAAAAAGTTCTAAAGATGAATTGTACAAAACATGAATGTATTTCATGCCACTGAACTGTAATTTTTAAAATGGTTAGAATGATAAGTTCTATCTTAGGTATATGTTACCACAGTTTTTTTTTAAAGTCATTAAAATAATGATTCTATGAGAGAAGGTACGGCAGGGGTGATTAATCCCACTTTATGTATATAGACACTTGAGAAGAGAAGGTTTCACTAGTCAAAGCTACAGACAGGGCAAAAGCAGGACAGAAACCAAGTATCCTGGATCTTCACCTTCCAGCTTTATTAACCATCAGTGCCCCTCACCAACTGTGATCTCCATGAAGGAGAGGGTAACCTGTAGAGTATCTGTCTCATGCTCTACCTTTCTTTCCAAAAATTTTTGCTTCTCAGAGGCAAATCATATTTTTACATTTTTTTTCAAAAATATAATTTTTTTAGATGACTGCTGGAAAAAAAAATGTCCTTTTGTTATCTAATATAGATAATACCTTCTCCTCTACTAAGAAAGGAGATTTTTTTCTTTTTCTTTGTTCTGTTTATTTTTTTACAATTTTCAAGAACATAAGCTCCATGATGGGAAGAAAATGGGAGTTCAGTACTGTATCCCCAACATTTAAGAATCTCCAGCTCATAGGAGGTGTTCAATAAATGTTTGTGAAACAATAGAATATGGAATATTTGAATACTGTTAATATAATTTTGGGGTTTCCTTTCTTCCTTCCTTCATTATATGACTGAGTAGTCATTTATTAGTGTGAATTCCAGTGAGTTTCTCTCCCAAGGACAGCTGCAATTATAACTTGATCTTTAATTGTGAGTATTGGAAAGACGGACACCTTTCTCATCCATGAAACTGCTGGTAGAAATTAATCGCCATCTTATTTTAAACAAAAATTCCTATTTAGGTCTTTGGTTTGTCCTTCCTTTAAACTGAGGTGTAGCTGACATACAATATTAGTATCAGGTATACAGCACAGTGATTCGATATTTACATATGCTGCAAAATTGTCATGACAATAAATCTAGCTATCCTCTGTGAACTTACAAAGTTACTACAATATTATTGACTCTATTGCCCATGCTTACATTACATCCCCATGACTTACTTATTTTACAACTAGAAGCTTATAGTTCTTAATCCCCTTTACCTATTTTACCCGCCTCCCCAATTCCCCTCTCCTCTGGCAATTAACAATCTGCTCTCTGTATACATGGGTCTGTGTTTTGCTTTGGTTTGTTTTTTTTTTTAGGTTTCCTTTAAATCATCCTCATCCGATCTTTTCAGACTGGGAAGCAAATCAGATACATTTGCTATTCGTTACTATCGCTCATTAAAGGGGTTAGCTGCGAGATCTAGCTCATTTGAATGTGTGGGGTAACCTGTGGATTTTATATAAGTAGGTGAATGTCAATGAAGACTAATTTTTCATTCTTTGATAAGCGGCCAAAGTTCTCTTTTTTCAATTCTATGTGCACATATAAAACTTCTAATTTTTACTTTTTGCTATTTGTTTTCAGAGTCACTTTGCTTTTTCAGAGTCTAAAGATTTTCTCTTTGTGATTTTGAACCTTACCCTCTTCTTTGCATTTCTCTCTCCAGAGAAGGTTGTCTTCAGCCAAAATTCTCCAGTAGCGACAAGTCTGAGCCGCTTGTAGCAGGTCTTTGGGTTCCAGGAATGAAAGCACATAAAGTGCCAGCTATGAAAAGCAAAAGCACAGTATGTCCATATTTAAAAATACACATACAAAAATAATAAGTTAATTATTTACTATAGAATGAAGCACTTTTAGATAAACACAATGTAATTCTACATTCTAATTTTTGAAATTGACTTTCTAATAGTTAATCTTAAATATATACCAAGCTTAAAAAACTCGCTCTATTGGTTTTTATGAACTTCACTTGACTAACGTCATCTCTGCAAAGAATACTTAAGCTTCTCTGCCTCTGCTCTTTTGCTCTGTGAGCCTCAACTCAAGAATTCTACCATTTATGTACGTATGTATGTGTATGTACACTTTATTAGTCATTTAGATTTTGTACTTTTCTCTCCCCACTACCATGTAAATTCACTGAAGTTATGACATAAATTAAGGAATGAGATTTCAGGGGCGCTTGAGTGGCTCACTCTATTGAATATCCAACTTCAGCTCAGGTCATGATCTTGTGGTTTGTGAGTTCGAGCCCCGCATTGGGCTCACTGCTGTCAGCCCTGAAGCTGTCAGCACAGAGCCCACTTCAGATCCTCTGTTCCACATCCCTCCCCAACCCTCCCCCGCTTGCACTTTCTCTCTCTCTAAAAAACAAATGAACATTAAAAAAAAGAAATGAGATATCTAGATATTCTGTGTGGTAGGATTTCAGATCACTTCTGATAGATAAGATTAATAGTTCTTTACCACATCAAAGTGTCTATTATCACAATGATGAACTTCTCAAACATTTATACCCTTCAATGTAAATGACAAGAGGGTACAATTACTAAACTGCTCCACAGACATATAAAAGCAATTAGGTTCTAATTACTTTACATTGCTGGTGGGGATTTTCTTGATGGGCCAGATATATTTGTATATTTGTACCAGCTCTTTGGTATATCACTGATTTTAAAATTTTGTTTCCAAGGGTTGCAAACCATCATTTTTTTTAAAGCATGTATAGTCAATTCAAGTAAATAAGGGAAGAAGAAAGAAAAAAGAGGGGGATGGTAACTTGTGAGTATGCTTATCCAATTAGCCTCACTAATCACATAAAAATTTAAATTATGATATTAGAACCCAAATGATCTAAACAAAGCAATAAAGTTTAGTGTTCACAGAAATTAAATTACAAGAATTAAAACAAACTATCATTTAAAGGGCCAAAGGCCATACAGGGAGTAAAAGCACAATTTGAATTATTTTCTGATGCTAACCAGTAATTACATGATATAAATTATGCTTACCCAAGAACATTATATAGAGAGAGCTCATCATTAATCACATATTTATTGAGTACACTTCATATAGAAAGTACTCCAGCCAGTCAGTATTCAATTTAATACTGTTACTGATAAATGACAGAAAAAACCTTTTTGTGGAATAATTATTTTTGGTCTAACGGAGAAGCCCATTCAGGATCATATTTAGAAACTGAGTAATTTTAAACAAAAAGGCATAACTATATCCAACAATCTACATATATGTGTATACATACATACACATATACAAATACACAAACATAGACACAGATATAGACAGATATAGGTATCAACATTATACTTTTCTAATGGATACTCTATAAGTCACTTAATTTTGAAATTAAGCCTGGGCAAGTTGTTTAGTGCCAGTATAACAGTAATGATAACACCATATTTTTCTTCTATGTGAAATTCATATTTAATATAGAAATTAAAAGGCACAAAGTTATATTTGTGAAAAGGAGATGCTATTTAATGCCCAACATATTTAAAATGGTCATCTGAAAAAGTCTATTCTTTGTTTTAGTTATCCAGCTGAAGTAGAAATCAGGTAATTTACAGAAACAGGCAATGGATCTTAAAGGCTAGAAAATGAATCCAGAGCACCTTAGATTTCAAAGGTACATCCTAAATCATCTATCATTTCCTTCATTACTGGTGATTATGAGCTCACCTAGTCCAGTGTCTGCATGCATTAAAGAGAAATGCATTAAAGAGTAAAGAAACACTTAGGTGCTAACGAAAGTTGAAGTGCTAACTCCACAGGTAACTGGTACATTTTTCCTTTAAAACAACAGAGGCCCTAACTCAACCATGAATTTCAACTTATTCTATTTAAATCTAGTCGTTCTATTAAAAACATCTAAGTATTGTAGAAAATACACATAGGAAAATAAAAAATATGAAAAAGAAAATCAGAACCAGTAAAAATATAAATCATAAAAGAAGTTAAGTTTAAATCAGGGAAAAAGTAGAACACAAATGCACTGGCAACAATATCTTACATGGTTTTTTAATTAAACTGCCAAGCACAAAAGGAACAACAATTAGTTATACAATTCTTAACGTATATTATGGGGGAAGTATAACAATTCCTCAAAGGAAGCAAGGTTTAGTCATGTGGGGCTCCTTGCAGGAGGCAGAAAGTGGGCATTGTCCTGAACAACATCTCTATAATACCATAGCAGGGGAGTATAGGTTTGTTGTGGCCAAGTAAAATGGTCTGGCTAATCCAATTTTCTATTCATTTGTCTTTTTTTTTTTATGCTTATTTTGAGAGAGAGGGAGGCGGGGGGCGGGGCACAGAGAGAAAGAATCCCAAGCAAGCTCTGCACTGTCAGTGTAGAGCCCGACATGGGGCTCGAACTCACAAACCATGAGATCATAACCTGAGCCAAGATTAAGAGTTGGATACTTAACTGATTGACCCATTCAGACACCCCTCTTTTCATTTCTCGTAAAGGTAAAATCTGGATTAGTAATTCCTCCTAAGGCTCAACAGACAGAAGCTCTTAAATTGAACATCTATTTTAGATAACCTTTTCCTTGACCAAACTTGTCATTTCAGTGAGAGTTGCTATTTTTTGTTTTTCTCTTTAACCTATGTAAGAGACCACCATATTATACGTGAGAGGGAACTAATACTTTCCCAGAAAATTGCTGTATTTCCCTGGATTGAACTAGTGAAACAGGGGGTTAAAAAAAGAATAAAGAAATTGTTGGCTGATCCTATGTTAAGAGTTCAGATTTGGGGGGTACCTGAGTGGCTCAGTTGGTTAAGCATCAACTCTTGATTTTGGCTCATGATCTCACGGTTCATGAATTTGAACCCCGCATGGAGCTCTGTGTGACAGTCTGCTTGGGATTCTCTTTCTCTCCTTCCCTCTCTCTGCCCCTTTCCTGCTTGCTTGCTCTCTCTCTCCAAATAAATAGCAAATAAATTTTAAAAAAATTGAAGAATTTAGGTTTTGTTCTAGGTCATCTACTGCATCACTATGCTTTTCTTGGCATTTATTTACAAAAATAAGGATAATGCAGTATATCACAAGCCTCCCACGTGAGACTAGTGACATTTTTATCAAGGTTTTTGAGCTTAAAAAGTAAGTGTTGATGGGGCGCCTGGGTGGCTCAATCGGTTAAGTGTCTGACTTCGGCTCAGGTCATGATCTCATGGTTTGTGAGTTCGAGTCCCACATCAGGCTCTGTGCTGCTGACAGCTCGGAGCCTGGAACCTGCTTCGGATTCTGTGTCTCCCTCTTTCTCTGCCCCTCCCCGGCTCACACTCTGTCTCTTTCTCTCTCTCTCTCAAAAATAAACATTAAAAAAAAAAAAAAAAAAAGTAAGTGTTGGTAAAGAGCTTTGAGATCTGTTGAAAGGAATTATAAGAAAATCATTACAAGTCCATTTCCTGCCATGAAAGTAGTGATGTTTTAAATAATAATAGCACTTAGTCTCCAATAAGATAATAGTTTCCTTAAGGACTTAGATCTATACCATTCTTTCTCCAAATATAAAATAAAGCATTTTTTCAAAACATGAAATGTTTCCTAGTAGTTGAAAAAGAGGGAAAATGCAGAAGATCTGCTAAGCCAGAGCTCACTCTTGTTCTTTTCTCTAGCCTCTCTACTTTTTCCTCAGGCAATCTTGAAAAGAACATTTAATCCAAAAAAATCTTTATTGCATTTACGCTGGTTATCAATAATTTGTCCTTAATTCTTAGACTCTTAAAAATATTTTCATAGTCTTCGGATTTTAAATATTTTTTGTGTTCAAAAGTTATTATGGAAATACAAATAAAGCAAAACAAAATATTCACCATTTTTAGAGATAAGAGGACAAACTAGACTAAGAGAAAGTCTGTATTTTAACAAAAATACTACCTTCTAAAATAAGGAGGATATCTAGGGAAACCATGAAGAAAATATTAGAGGGACTAACTTTACTTTCAGTCAAATACTTATAAAAGTGCTACCTATTATGAATGTCCTTCTGGAAGCAAAGAGAGCTTATGTCATTTCATAAGCCAATTCTATTCAAAAGGTTCAGGTTTAGCATGAGCCAGCAAGAATAAAAAATTTTTTCTGGGACAATGCTACTTTTTTTTTTTTTTTTGCCATTTAAAAAAAATCATTCCAAAGAAGAAACATTTTAGGAAAAAGATATTATTTCCACTTTGCTTTCTCTTAGAGTAATGCTTAGTTTCATACATTAAATATGATAAAACTATTTTATTCATATCCAATGTGAAATTATTGAGACTATGTTTAATGCCCTTAGGATGTTTAGAATGGTTATCCAAAAAAACTGACTCTTTTTCTCTTCATATTAGAAGTTTTAAGATCATTTGCAGTAGTATATTAGTGTCTTATATATTGTTTTCTTAGCTGACATATAATTAGTGGCACATAAATAATTTGTGAAAATATAAACCACGTGACATTGATTATTTAATGTCATATTATTTGTTTGCTGACAGAAATGAAACTGTGAAGCCTATAACATCAATAAAAGAACAACATCTAAGCTATGCCTCATTTATGCAGCCAAGAATGCCCATGTGATCAAAATCAATCTATGATAAAAAACAGTGTCAGTTCACATAAAGATATAAAAACTAGGCATAAGTAATTCCAAAAGAAATGCCACAAGGATGTAATCGATGCAGGAAATCTGTGAGTGTGTGTGTGTGTGTGTGTGTATGTGTGCACGTGCGCGTGTGCATGGGAGAGAGAGAGTGAGAGAGATGGGGGAAAGACGAAGGATGATTAGTAGAAAAAGATACACATGTGAGATTCCACATATTAAAAAAAAAATTACATAATGTGAGTTAACAGAGAACTATCATTCAATAGAATCATAAAACTATTAGTCTCAGAGGGATTTTGGAGAAACAAACAACAAAAATCTGTTTTACTAAAATCAGAATTTCTAAAAAAATCTGCTACTATATATAATAAATGTACCAAGACAACTAAAGGTTGGGCTTCAAATAACCTGGGAAAAAACTGTGATAAAGGAATAATCAAATTAATGAAACTCAATAGTTTACTCTCTCTCCTATGACTTACTGCAGGGGTGGAAAGAAGTCACTTAGTCCATAAATATACTTGAATCTGGAAATGATACTATTAAGTCATGGCAGCTTATCATTTACATCTCTCTTTAACACTAATTAAGAGCATTAAACCGACAATACTGAATACCATAATTAGCATGACCATGTTTAAAGGTGGTCGCTATGGAGTTATATTATCAAATAGCACCCAGAAGAATATAATTGATAATCCTTACCTCTTTAGGGAGCAAGGAAATGAAGTCTCGTTGAAACTGGGGTTCTATCACTTGCATCATATGTTTTACTTGTGTTGGTTCACAACTATCAATAAGTTCATCTAAAGCAAGCAATTTCTCTGGTCCACTCCAGCTCTATCAAAAAGGAAGTAGAAATTTTTATTATTTTAATAGATGTCTCAAGCTATAAACTCATAAAGGAAAATCCACGTTTACACATAACATAAAAAGTGGCTGCTTACAGTGAAAGTTTCTCCAGGAGTCACTGAAGTGATAATCAATTATTCTCATCAAATTCACTAGGTACCTTTATTTTATAAAAGCTTAAGAAAAAGTCATGATTTTGACAAATATTTTTGTACCATATTATTATAAATATTATATGTTCATCTACTATCAAGATAAGAAATCAGAGTTTTATCCGGAAACATCAACTTGGGCTACTAAGTAAACAAGGTATTTTATATTCTTTCCAGTGGGCACCATAAAATTTGATAGTGTTAATAAGGAACCCATCTCAGAGGAGATTGGCAGCATGATTTAGAGAAAAATTAATAGCTGGATATACTGCAAATCTGACAAGTGTCTTCCACAAAATAAAAGAACTTTGATTTATTATGTGAAAATAATTTGAAATAAAAAGCAGCAAAAACATAAAACAGTAACTGACTTAGTAATGATACTAGAATGTGAACAAAAGGGTCAGAAACAAAGTACTACTTATGGGAAAGACAAAAACACATTATTATACTTTAAAAAACAGAAACTACTTTATACTAGGGGATTATTAAAAAAAATTTTTTTTGCCAGTGAGGAACATCTGCACAGAAAAGCCATGATTCTTAAAAGGAAACATTAAAAAGCCATGTGAATAATTTAGAGTGTTAGAATTTCCCCTCAAAATAATCACATAAAACATGTAAATAACTTTGTGATGCTTAAGTGAAAGAACATCCTTGACCAGGCTGATTTAAGTACCTTTGTGAATTATTATGTCCAATCTGACATTCCATTTCTTGCTCAAACTAGGAACCTGGATTTTGTAATATATGAAATGGATAATAATTGAAAACTGAGATATACTCAGGACACAGGAAGCCTTATTTAGAATACTTTTTAAAGTACTGTAGTTTAAATTTTTTTTGTCCCTTTAGAATCTACAATGAATTTCATTGTAGATGAAACTCCTATTATAAGGTGTAGATTATGTTAATACTATCAAACATTTCAATAGTATTTCCAAAGCACTTATCACAAACATTATCTTACTTAATCATAAAAACTCTGGGAAACATTTCCATTTTACCACCAAATATGAGGAAACATAGACTCTAATAAATCGTATTCTTTTCTTTTACTTCTATATACCTGCATACCTAGAAGATTCTCCTTGAGAACCCACTTTGGACCCTTTTTAATTAGGGTGAGGACTTATGCACAGAAATAAAAACTACTCAAATATATGTATTTGCGTACTCATGAGCAATGAAAAGCAGTTACTTTGAAGTTCGACTGTTTTGTTGTTTTTCTCACACAGCTTCAAATCCTAGTTCAAAATTTACCTCTTTAACAAAACTTACACTGATCATCTCCCCTCATCTCTGATCATTTACTATCAATACTATAAACTCTAATTTATTGATATAGGTTCCTCATAGAATTGAAGGTGGGTTTTCATAAATATGTTGTTCCCCTCCATTCATGGACACAAGTATGAGGACATATCCAATTTGGGTAACGGATAACTTATGCTGACTTGATTAAAATGCAGCTTTAAGTAACCTGATAGCACAATAATCTTAATTACTTAATTAAATTTAATTTAATTATTGAAAACTTTTTAAACACCTTTGCATATATGACTGTTTGCCTTAGAAACACTTTTTGGAAGTTTTTATGGTTAAATTTTGATATAAAAATAAAGGTATCCTATGTAATCTTCTACAGTAATAGGGTGAAAAACCTTACAACATATTACTACTCTATGTACCTTACATAGATTAATGACATGAATAGCTACTATGAATATTTCTACTTTAAGGCAATATACTTGTTTAATGTCTTTTTTTCAGTTAATGAATTATTACAGTTTTCTTAAGAAAGAAAAGGGTAGAAAAACATTATTAATACATGATATATTACTGCTAATAGATGGAAAACGTATTTTATTAAGGATTTTAGGGGATCGGGTGTAGAATGTGAAAAGCCAGAATAAAAAATAAACAACTAATTCAGATTTTAAGTAAATACTAAAAGCTATGTCAGAAATTTCTATATATTTAAGCAAAGTCCATGACAAAAATTATGCTTGCATAGGAAAATATTTCTAAGATTTTAAACAATGTTTTTGTTTTAAGCAATATTTGATTTAACAAGTCAAATAAAATTAAATGCATATCTGTGTTTAAATTATACATACATTCAACAGATGTTACTTTGTGACCCTTTATTTAAAAGTATACCACTGACAAGGATTAGCAACACAGGCTGCAAGCTAGGTAGTAAATGAGACTGTTTCCACCTATCACACATATTCAATAGTCTAATTACTTAAAGTCACTTTCCTTAGATGGTTTCGACAAAGGTATGAACCATATAGAAAGCTTTCCTCTCCCCAGCCTGGATTTCTTCCAGATTGGTATATAAAATTGCGCATTCAACATGTATTCTTAGATATGCAATAAAAACTTAACATATCCATGATCTTTCTCTTCAAATATGCATGTCCATAATCCTCCCTATTTCAGTAAACTGTAACTCTTATTCTCTTAGTTGCTCAAGCCAAAAACTCTGGAGTCATCCCTAACTCTCTCATTCTCACCACTGTTAGATGGTTCTGATCCATCAATGAATTTTAAGGCCTTAAACTTCAAAATATATCCAGAATCTGACTGTTAACTACATTGGCCTAGCTACTATATTATCTCTCACGTGGATTATTCCTTTCTACAAGCTTCCTTGTTCTATTCTTCACAAAACAGTCAGTGATAACTGCTAAAAATCACTCACTCTTCTGCTTAAAACCCTCTAGTGGCTTCCGACTTCAAAGTAAAAACCAGGGGCACCTGGGTAGCTCAGTCAGTTAAGTGTCCAACTTCGGCTCAAGCCGTGACCTCATGGCTCATGAGTTTGAGCCCCAGGTTGGGATCTGTGATGACAGCTCAGAGCCTGAAGCCTGCTTCAGATTCTGTGTCTCCCTCTCTCTCTGCCCCTATCCCACTCGTGCTCTGTCTGTTTCTCTCTCTTTCAAAAATAAACATTAAAAACATTTTTCAAAAAAAATTAAAAGTAAAAACCAGTCTGGGTTGGCCTACAAGATTCTATTTCCTACTCTTTTCCCTCTTGTTTAGTCGCTTTAGCCATAGACAAACGAAGCATGCTCCGCTTCAGAGCCTTTTCACTTGCTGTTCCTGGAACATTCTTGCCCTTGATATCCACATGGCTTCTTCCCTATGTCCTTCCGAGACCAACTCCAGGCAACCTTTTTAAAACTGCAAACCAGTTCCAACCCCCCGCCCCCATTCCATCCCTCTCCTATAATGTAAGTTCTGTGGAAGAGAGTTTTTGGTCTGTTTTGTTCACTATTGTATTCCAAATCCAAAGTAGAACCTAGCACCAGTAATTATTTGTTGAATAAATAAATGAATCCCCAAAGAGTCAGGAAATACCACACCACCACTAACTCAAAATTCTCTCCAGAGAGTGTTTCTGGTATTTATATTTGATGGTATTACTAGGACTTACTTGTTTAGTTTGGCTCCAAGACTGATTCCAAATTTTTGCATACATGGTTTACCAGCAAGGGAAGTATGTATTAACTTGAAAAACTAGCAGTTAATGACTATATTAAAACAAAATAACAACAACCCTCATTCCTTTAATGAGGAATAGTGGAAACAGCAGTCAATTTCAGATCAGGAAACCCAACTTTTAGAGGTGATACTGACACTAATTAGATTACACTTTAACCTCTGCAGGCCTTATTTCTGCATCTGCAAAATTGCTGGATAATTCTGATAATTATTTTATTTCTGTTCTAAAAAATAGTTGTCCTGGATGAAAGCATCTTCCTTTGGTCTTTCATGGTAAAGTTATGTGAGAACTTATTTAAGGAGATACGAAAAACATTCCAAATTTGGCGAGGATCAAAAGAAACAAAACTTAATTTGTGGGCAAAATTGCAAATGCAAACTTGAAAATTCCCCACGAAAGGAGTATTTTATTTCAGATAATTAGAGAATGAAGGTAGTAGTGAAGAATATAAGAAGCACTGAACTGCAATTAGGGGCTGGGGTTTCACCAGTAAACTCACCATGGAACCATATGAAAGTCCCTTAATTAATCTCAGAGACCCCACCTGTATAATGAGGGGCTTGGTCCAGACCAGTGTTTCCCAAATGCTGGTTGAGGAGTGTAAGAATCAGAGTCCTAGAACTCATCATCAAAGAGTATGATTCAGTAGTCAAGGTGGGGCTGAGGACATTTTGTGTTTTAAATAAACAACTCATCCAGTTTTGATGCAAGTGACTCACAAACAGTGTTGGTTACTAGTCTGGATGATCTCTATACCCCATTCAGATATGTACACATTATGACTTTCGGTAGTACCACGCCTGAATTTCATGTGGTAAAGAACCGATTTCTCATGACTTTCTTAAACACACACTTTCTTCTTCACACAAGGTTTCTTAATCATACTGCCTCAAATACAATTGCAAAGTAACACTGAATTCATTTTATTTTGGCATAATCCTGTTTTGGTATTTTGTTGACTAGCAAATAAAAAAGATCTAAATAAAACAGAGAACATGTACAATTTCTAAGTGTTACCGTGGTACTTAATTAAATCCTTCAAGAGAGTGTTTTTACTCCACTTTTATTTATTTATTTATTTATTTATTTATTTATTTATTTATTTTTTAATTTTTTTTTTTCAGCGGTTATTTATTTTTGGGACAGAGAGAGACAGAGCATGAACGGGGGAGGGGCAGACAGAGAGGGAGACACAGAATTGGAAACAGGCTCCAGGCTCCGAGCCATCAGCCCAGAGCCCAACGCGGGGCTCGAACTCACGGACCGCGAGATCGTGACCTGGCTGAAGTCGGACGCTTAACTGACTGCGCCACCCAGGCGCCCCTTTACTCCACTTTTAATGTCAAAACACATAAGTATTTTCTACTTTATCATTTAAAAAAATATTTGAGTATTAGTATTTTCAAAGTACATTCATTATTTTAATGCAATGCAAATTTTTTTATTAAAATAATGCTAATAACATTTGTATGAAGCTGTTTTTAATAGCCCTTTTTTAGACCTGAGAAAACGGAGGTTCACAAAGGCTATTTCTTGACCAAGAGAAGAAACGAACATTGAGTCTCCACTATTATTTCCACATAAAGCTTTAAGCACATTTACATGTTGTCTCCTGTTTGACAACTTTTTAGTGTTGTATCTGTCTTACAGAGGATGAAAATAGGCAAGAGTGGTTACGTAATACCAATAAAATTACCTAGTATTAAGGGGCAAAGCCAAAATTTGTACTAAGATCTTTTTCTTCTAAGTCATATGTGCTTCTCATTTATATCAGGATGCCTCTAAATATAAATTTCAACATAAGATCATAATAATGTTATTGATGCCTTTACTTGCTCTAAAATTTTCAAGTAAAAAAACCTATATGTAACACCCAAATGCACAAACAAAATGACCAATCCTCTGCCCCCAAATTAACAACCTGAAGCATCAATCTGGCTGCCAAAAAAAGTAGAACCAATGGCTACTAAAAATTTACACAGTACAAAATTTCTGGTTTTTTGTTTTGTTTTGAATTTCCACTTCAATTTTACAATGCCATTTTGTTTCAATTTCCCTTTATCCAAAATGGTATATCATTTGTTCTCATTCCATTTATAAATTGAGTACAGAGTACTTTGTCGGAATAGATGGAGCTGGACCAAAACAATGCTGTATCACTGCCTTAGGAGCAATAGCAGAACAGTAAGGGGATGAGCTCTCCCATTTTGCTTGTTATGCAACGGAAAAGTCATCATTAAATACCCCCACAGCACATTTGTAGAAATCATGCCAGTCTAATTATCCCTCCACTATAGCACACAGGGTCAACTCACGACTCCCCTACTTTACTATGAAATTATATCTCTCTACAAGTTGGCCATGAAAGCCCTATAAGCTTTTAGGCAAGTGATTCATCTCTAGTTACTTTGGCACCAGCCCTGAAAATAAAGGGCAATGCACAACAATGAGGACCTGGGTGTGTAAGAGACAGATATGGTACTCAAAAGATTAAGGTCCTGATACACCTGTTTAGTTGACTTTTTGTTGCTAAAAGATTTCTTTGTTGCAGAATATTTATCTGAAAAAAACACTATACCTGGAGGGATAATTCTACCTGTTATTCCTATTAGCTAAGAACAAGTTGTCTTCACTGCATCTACTTCTCATACGAAAAGCAATCAAATGGGCTTTTTTACAGAACAAAGGCTAGCCTAATATTCTTTAATTTATTGAATCCCATTTATTGTAAGAAACTTTTTGTTTTTTTTTTTTTTACAAATAAGATTTCTGAAGATGGGATGCATCTAATAACCTAGATATTAGGCATCTCAGACTTGGTGACATACAATATGTGGTAACGTGGACATTTCATTAAGAAAAGCATGAATGAGCTGAACAAGTAAACATTCTACAAAGAACTCCCGAAAACATCCTCACTGCAAAATAAAGCAAATACTCCCTCCCTTCTATAAATCAATATTTGAGAGAGTTCTCTTAAAATTGGGAAAAGTCTAAATGTCTAGCAAAGAATATTTTGGTACTCTAAAACACCGGAAAAAATAGGCCCATGTCACATACAAAATAAATCACTTGACATCCTTGTGATAAGAAATAAAGCTTTTCATATAAAATAAATATTTTGCACGCTGTCCACAATGATGAGAAAACTATTACCAATAGTGTAAAATTTCAATCATGTTGATGCTTTCTTATAAAAATGATATTAAGTAATTCTGCGTTATTCCCAAGCGCTCTGCCGCTCACACTGTGTGCGTGTGCTTGACAACACACAGCCATATTCCCATCTCCTTGGCTTAATCAGAGATGATAAAAATCTTTGAAGTATTTCTTTGTGACTGTATGAATGTCTGACTCTTCTTTTTACCTCTTATTGATGGGATACATTTCGTATCGAAAGGCTATGATAAAAATTTTTTTTTTCATGCATAGGAAAAAATTAATTAAAATTAAAAAAAAATCAGGAACCTAAGGTAAAAGAACTGGGAGAAGGGAAGGGGGGTACTAATCCTTGGGGAAAGGTAAGGTTAATCAACACAGGACTATGAAGACAGAAAAAAAATTCTTTGTGATTGTAGTGGCTTATAACATTATCATGAGAGTGACACACAACTTTCATCCTCAGTCCCAGCACTGGTGACATTTGGGGCCCGATAACACTCGGCTATAGGAGGCTGTGCTTTACGTGGCCACTACTCACCAGATGCCAGCGGCATCCTGCCCTCCACCCCATCAGTTGCAACAACCAAAACTGTTTCATCTGAGGGAAAAACCTGCCCCCTGTCAAGAACCACTGCTTTAACCTTACAGTCACCAACTGAAAAAAAAAAAAAAAAA